TCTTATCTTATCTTATCTTAAATATATAAAAATATACCAATGCACTGATCGAAAAAGTAAAATGTCCATAAAGACAGTCTCACGTGGTTTCACTTTCTGTTAAATTTCTGCCCAAGTGGGTATTTGATTAAGATTAAGATGCAACTTTACATCCAACATGTGCTTTTGTTTACATTTGTTACATCAACCTCGGGTGAGCATAGCCCCCCCCCCCCCGTACACACTGCATTGAGGGGCTTTTTCTCTCGCTGCCTGACTAGCTGAAACGCAGCTACGGTAAAGGCTAGCAAGGTAGCTAACGCTAGCTGATTAGCAAACGCCTTATTCCGTGGAAACTCGCTCATGGTCTAATGTTGGTCACATCTAAACTCACTCTCTTGGTCATACAACCCACAGGTGCATGCAAGCCACTGTTGGCAAGTAAACGATGAGCTCATTGGTCGTCTTCGGAAGGCTGACTGTCGCCTATCTGGCCTAATTTACCGGTGCTTTGCTCTCTAACGGTAATATTTGGTCGGCTAGGTGGCCAGCAGTGACCTCTCGCTTGTATTAAGTTTACAGCTTAAAAGAAGCACTAAATGTGTCTTCACGCAGCAGAATTATCATATAAGCGCTTTATCGAAGAGCGAATGAGTCCACTAACCGCCAATGCGGCTTTCAAATTACACATATTACAAATTATATGGAAATAACGGGATCGGGAGATTTACCTTGGCCAGCCTCCTGCTCGCCGCCATCTTGAAACTACTGTGTTCCCAGAATACACAGCGCGGCGAATATGGGTCTGTCCGTGGATGTGGTCAGGTCTGTGGCTGAGGATTAGCTATCAGCCTGTTAACTAGACCTATTAAATTCGACATTTAAGGGAAATCTCGAATATTATACTTAATGTGGCGCTCACGGGAAAGTTCCCGGTCAAAAACCGTTATGTTTTATAACAGAATGAGGCTACTCTCAGGCCGTTTAGCCTAGATAGGTGTTACATAGGCTACTTCATAATAATTTTATTAAGTCAGGATTACATTTACATATTCTTTTTTTAATTAATTATTTGAAGCTATGAAAAGGAGGTTTCACCTTATCATTGACAACTGAGCCCTGCTTGTGACAGTTGGCCGGGACGTATGGACGGGACTTTGACAACGTGCCTCCTTGGTGACAGCCTCTCATGGTCCAGTCTGCAACATACACAAGAAACTTGAAACCACCCTTTTCCTGTCACTCTTTAGCTGTTCTCCATTAAAGAGGGAATAAAGCCCTCAAAACATATATATATATATATATAAAAATTGGACCTGGTAATTAATATTTTTGTGGAAAGATTATAGGCTATGAGAAATTGTCACTCCAGAATATTTTATGTCTTAAAAAACATAAAAATGGATGAATAGTTTTGCTCCTCATGCACTGCCAACAACGGTCAGGTGCTGGTAGGTCAGAATTAACCACCACACACTGGAATGACTTTACTGTGATTTATTTAAGAGCAAACAATGCGGAAGTGGCTCAACCATGGTCCTTCTCCGTATAGTCCCTATGGCATAAGCCATGTTACCTTTCCTAATGGCTGCCTTATGCTCTGCAACTCTTAGTTTAAGATTACGTTTAGTTTGGCCCACATACAGTAAGCCACATAGACATTTCAAGACATAAATGACATGAGTGGGGAAAAAATTAATTAATTTTTTACATCATATTTCTGTCCTGAATGTAGGTGATTAAATGTCTTAGTATGAAATGTGTTGTGTGTGCTCCAATGTTTGTTAATAATCTGCTTGACTTGCCTAGACAGTATCAGACACAAAGGTAGTTCTATTTTTAGTATATTTAGAGGGAGGATTCAGTAATTCTTCCCTGTCTCTTCTGTTGGTTTTTGCTTAACATTTCATTTGGCCTTCATTAGATAATCCTGTTCTTCACTAAATATTCTTCTCAATCTCACAAATTGACCATATCGGATGTTACTGATCATATGGTCAGGGTGGAAGCTCGTAGAGTATAAAATAGTGTTTCTATCAGTTTCTTTTCGATAAATAGATGTCTCCAATTCTCTTTTTTCAGATACAGTGATCAAAAGGTCCAAAAAGTGTTTGGTTTTTTTCAGGACTGTATTCCTGTATAGTGAAATGCAAAGTGGGATAGCTATTAATATAGTCACCAAATGCCCTAAGTTTAACCCTAAGTTTATGTTGTCTTCCAACAAACCCATGAACAGGTTGGCATAGTTAGGGTCGAAAGGTGAACCCATACTCTTACCCTAAGATTGCAGGTAATACTGTTATCAAACATGAAGTAATTCGATTTTAGGATAAACTTAGTATGTGACATTAGCAGGTCAACTGAGAGTGCAAACTGAGAGTTTCCTGAGTACAAAATAAAAGTCCATTGCTTCTAATCCACCATCATGTGGGATATTGGTGTACAAACTCTCCACGTCAAAAGACACCAAAAAGAAGTTGTCAGGCATAGAGACGAGGTCTGCCAACAATTTCAAAACATCTCTAGCGTCCGCTACATATGAGGGTAATGTCTTAACAATGTCTTTAATCCACAAGTTGGCTCAGATGTTCACACAAGGAGTTGCTGCTCGCTACAACTGGTCTACCATGTGGACTTTCCAAACTTTTATGTATCTTTGGCAATAATTAGAAAATCGGTGTGATGGGATGTTCTATTTTCAGAAATTCATACTGACTCTTAGTGATCCACTTGTTATCCACTGTGTTGTTCAAAACAGATTATGTCATTGCTAGGCACTAAATTCATTGCATTGAAAGAGTGTGACCCAGTCCAAGTGGGGGTCATTTGATTACCCAGCTCTTAAGGGAGGCATTTTAGATTTATGAACTGAACACAGTTGGACTTAATTGCTGTTTTTTGTGATGTTAATATGTTAACTTATATCTCTTTGTACAGGTAACTTGGACCCTCAGGGAGAGATGAGACACTAGGTCCCCTTGCCTTCTCGTTTAGTGGTGTAGAGGGACTGTGGTAGAATCTACAGGATATTTCAGCGGTACATTTACATTAGTTTTCTGCTCCTTGTAAGTAATGTGGTGTAATTCTTGTGATTATGTTAATCATGCTGTTCTTAAATTTATCTTGCTTGGTCTTTTGCAATATGTTTTTTTTGTATTTGCTTATAGTATGTGGTGGCAATAGTATGCAAAGAAAAACTCAGTCCAAATATCATAGTTTTACATTTTTTAAGAAAAGAAAAACAAAGCAAAACAATCATGGGTGCCAACCGCCATAAAACTCCACAGAAGAAGAAGAAGTACCACAAGCAGAAGAACGAAAAGTCATATTTTTTTAACCAAGATGACGAAGTCATGACCTGCCTTATTCTGCCTCTGATTGGCTTACCCTGACATTCTTACCTTAACCCAGAGCCATAAGATATAATATATATCCATGTCTCTGCCTAAACCTAACCAACCAAACAAATAATTTATTTAAACATTTTTATTTTTTTTATTATTGAACAATTTAAATGTACAAAGCTACAAGGTATACAATAACAATCAGCACATTGGTGACATAAATAATAAATAAATCAAAGATAGAGTAAAAATTTAAATAAATAAATAAATAATTAAAATAAATAAATAAAAACTTAGACTTCAAGACCTCCTTCTGCCTTACTGTTGGAGACGGAGAGTACACATTTTTTGAGTTTATGTGATTTATTTTTCCAGATGAAGTCTAAAAAAAATTTATTGACTTGTGTGGTAGTTGGTTCACTTACACATAGGGACAATGCTGGATATACGAAGCGACACAAACCTTCTGCTTTAGAGAGAATAATACGGAAGCCGAGAACGGCCATGGAATTTTTTTTTATGCACTGTTATAATCTCGTTATCTCTAGATAACAAAGATCGTTTTCTCGTGATAACGAATTAATTAATAATGTGTTCGTCTTGACTTTAAACTAATGCGCTGCCACAAACGAGATAACGACATAATTAATTCGTTATCTCGAGAAAAAAAAAACTTTGTTATCTCGAGATAATGAATTAATAAGTCGTTATCACGAGATAACAGTGCATTTTTAAAAAAAAATCCATGGCCCTTCTCGGCTTCCGTAAAATAACTCTACGTACCTGGGATAAAAAAAATGATTGTACGATCCGATCTCCACTTACGCACAACGCTGGCGTCACCTGGAAGTAGTCACACTGGGCGAGATGACCGGAACAACAAAATGGCGGAGAATGAGGAGTTTCGGGTAGGGGAAAAGAAAAACACTGATTGTGACTTACTTCTGTCAGTATTAAAACATGGAGCGTTAACCTGTAACGAATAAACTGGTTGATATATATGGCCAAAGCTGATGTGCTAATAGCATAGGGTGATGCCAGGAAGCAATGTGCATTTTCAGACCAGATTGTTTGCTTTTCAGTAGTTAGCTTTAATGCTAACGATTTATAACTAGCCAGGTCCCTTGTTAGCTCGCCGCAGCTATTTGAAACCATACAAAGGTTTTTTTCAGTACTGCGTCTAGTTAACGTTACATTGTCATTGTTTTAAGTACGAGGGCCTTTAAAGCTGGTAAGTAATCTTCAGAGAAGTTAATAACGTAACGTTAAATGATTTCTGTACAAAATTACATGCCGCTAATTTCACAAAGATACATCTTGTTTGGGATCAATGAAGTATATCTTATTTTGTTTAGTCCAGAGTTAAAGATACTTGTACTATCTTAAATTGTATGTACTACACAGAGTCGAAGGTCGATTTGTTGAATCGGTTTAAAAACTTGGGTCTAAACTCTAACGTTACCTTTTAACGTGAAGTCTATCAAAAAGGTTCAGTGAATTTCTGGTGCTCCGTAATAACGTTAATTAATTAATCGTTAGTAAAGCTGATTAAGGGACGATGGAACCCCTTCATTGGTGATGAGAGAATTCAGTGATTTACGTATGAAAAACATTTCTGCACTAGGCTACTTGTCGCCTAAGTGAGTCTCATACACGAGCCTACAGTTTAGCTGCTCATTGTTTGTGGCAACTTCTAACCCCAAATCTGATTCTTAACCTACCTACTTACCTATTTAAGAACTACATAACTCGTGGTAGTTTGAGGAAGTAGGAAAGAGGTGGCCACTTTTATAAACATTGTTGGTCTTGTGTATTACAGGAATAACAAGTGCTATGAAATGCTATGAGATAAATAGTCCAGCCCCCTTCCCTAGCTGCACCAGCAGCTTGCATTTAGTTTATCCACCAGTCTTTATAAAAACACCAGAAACATGTTCCTGGGATTTTGTGTTCATTTTGTCAGCTAATGCACTGTAAGCACTGTATTCTTGCAAGATTATGGTGGTTTCACTGTATATCACAGTATTTTCTTTGCCTGATTGGACCTTTTATTGTATGTATATATATTTATGTATAAAGAGGTTAAACTGCTATGTGTTTAACTAAATTCATGACAAAAGCCATGCTATCCTGTGTTTTTGATCATCAAATAAACTTAATTAAATTTTTAGTTTTGTAAAACACACAGTATTTAACACAATTTCTTTAATTAATTAAGAGTACATTTAGTCATTTTAAAGCACTTTTGTATTCTTATGCCATTGTCTGAATACTATACTAGTGCACTTAAACAATGTAATTGAGTCTTTCACTTGTATTATGTATTGTTTGGCCTTGATGTTTGCTTGTGTTATGGCTTCTTGTCAGATCTTCATTAGAGTAAGTCAGTGTTATCTGTTAAGCAGGAGACGGTCCTGTAACGCAGACTTCAGCTTCTCGACTGGTGAAACAGCTGTGTGGCACGACACCAAAACCAGCATGAATCTCCAGCAGCCAGCCCCTCTCATCCCCCCTGTCCACCCTGATGTGCAGATGAAGCCCTTGCCATTCTATGATGTACTGGATGTCCTAATCAAGCCTTCAAGTCTAGGTCTGTGGTCTTATCTTTCTTTCAGTTTAAAAGGAGAACACTTCTGAGTCTGAGCCATGTAACCACCCGCATAGCCACAGGTGTGCCTGTGCCATCTAAATCTAAAGCTGACATACTCAGCATAAACATAAATAAATGTGAGTTAGTTGCAAATAAGGATGTCCCTGATGAGCTTAGGGATGAGCTTTATTGATCGATCCCATCTTTTGTTTTCCGTCAGCTGTCACAGCTGTTTTTGCTCATGAAGTTTTATCTGCACAGAGCAGCCATTGTCAACTGTAACTGTCTCTTTCCTTCACACTGTGTGAGAGAGCAGGAGCAGCCCCGCCCCAGCGGAGTTTCGTGGTGGGAGGGGCTGCCGGAGGAGAGGCGGTAAAGAGCCACGCCACCACAACAAACTGGGATGCGTTCTGACACCTTTCTGTCAGAACTTCAGAACCAGCATTAACTTTTCACGCAGTTTGAAGCTACAGTAAGCTTGTCTCTTGATTGACGACTGGCCGACGTTCTTCCAGTTAGCTGGCCCCCAAGACCCTGTCACGGCGTTTACCACGTTCCCTTCCATTAGCCTACTCTTTTAGTAAGTATGACCACCCCACAGAAGAAGGCGCTTTTTGGAGATGCTCGCACACCCATTTGGTCCAAGCAATGAACAATTTGGTCCCTCGGTCAAAATCCTTATGCTGCCCCATGGTCTTTCTGCGTCTTAAACACATCAACTTGGACAGAGATGGTCCGCGCTTGCTGCTTAATATACATCGATCAAGCATAACATTGAGACCACCCTGATTGGGACATGAATAACATGATTATCCTTGTTATGTATTAACATTATACAAATGTAATCTGTATATTTTGTATATTTTATATATTATGATATATACTATTAACTATAATCATAACCACCCACACACACACCACATCAGAATACCTTTTATGTGAAGGATTTGACTCTGTTTACCGGCTGTCTCCCCAATGTACACAAAACCAGATTAAAAATATATAATTAGCCGCCTGGGCGGGACATCGCCTCCACGCAAGTTCTCGGCGGTGTGGCTTGGCGGCCGCGTCACGTGCAGGCGTAAACGTGCTGCCAAAACCATGAAATTCACGTAAATCCAGAATTCAAAGTTGCCATGCAGCCACTTACCATCCTGTGCCCGTAGGTGGGCGCTACACTATATTGGCGTGAATATTGTCATGAACCGTTTCAGGGCGGAGCTCTTATGCCAAACCGTGTGAAGTTCATTGAGATTGACCCAGCGTACCACCTGAAGTTGTGAGGACTGTCAGGACACTGAAGATGATGGGTACTAATCTGTCTTAATGGCCAATCACCGGAATTCGACACGGCCGTCACAGGCCCACATGTTAGACCGTAGCACGTCAGCAAATACCACACTTTTGATCACCAATGTGTTACAGATTGCAGTGACGAATTGAAGCTCAATCTGAAAAAACTGTAAGGAGGAGTTAGTTTAAAACAGAAGCCCCTAAATGCTGGAAAGTGGCATCATAGTTTGACATTCAATTCCAACCTGGCGCAACTGTGACGGCCACCCACGGACCCATAGCCCTGTTTTGACGAAAAATGCAGCAGAAGGTGCAATTTTTATAGCGTGTTTATCCTTTTGAAATATCAAAATTTCTTAGAAGACATTTTGCCCCAAGACAGGTCCCCAGATTGCCCGATGAAAAAATTTCGTGGAAATCGGACCCATAGCGTATAGGAAGTAACAGCGAAAAAGGTAGTTTTTGAGCATTTCACCCGCCCTAACAAAAAAAAATTCTAGGCGAAGTGGGCCATGGGCCTGACATGTGTGCCCACGTTTCAATGAGTTTTCGAAGCCACGGGAAAGCCTCCAAAAAATGGCATTTACCAAAGTACTAAAAGAAAATAAGGAAAAAGACCCATCCATTACAATGGCCTTGGCACGTTCAGTGCTCGGGCCTAAAAGCAAAACAGTTCAACAACAAAAAAATTACCTAGACTTGTACAGTAACATATCTATAAACCAAACTTTTTGTAGCAGTAACAACAGTGCAAAGGATGCTGAAATAAATATTTTACGTGCAAGTATCCTTTATGTACATGGGGTAGGATGGGTATGACAGTAATAACAGTATGCAAAGACAATACAAAATAAGTAAGTTTAACTGTTGGTCAGGAGGTGATGGCCTGTTGGTAGAAATGGTTCCTGTGTCTTTTTGGTTTTTTTTGGTGTACAGTGTTGTGTCAAAGTCAGCTTTTATTGTCCGATTCCTTCACATACACCGAAGACATACAAGGAAATCGAGAGGACGTTTCTCATTCACCCCACGGTGAACAGATAAAGTGCACAGGCAGGAGAATTTAGCTTCTGACAGCTTGGTCGGATGAAGCTTTTTGTGAGTCTGGGAGCGGGCACCGGGAGGCTCCTAATACCTTCCTTCCAGAAGGCAGGAGGCTGGAACAGCCTGTGTGCGGGGTAGTAGGCGTCGCTCACAATCGAGGTAAGCCTTTAACGGGTGGCGGTGATATAAGTGTCTTAACCAGTGTATATAAACTGTCTGCTCATTCTGTAGCACTTACCAGAAGGGAGGAGGGAAGTTGTGTCCAGTGAGATGGATCTGCAGTGATGTTACCTGCTCGTTTCCTGACTCTGACAGGTAAAAGTCCTGAATGTATGGCAGGTTGGCACCAATGATCTCTCTGCAGTCCCTGACTGTCCACTGTAGTCCTGTTCCTGTCCCTGTTTGGTGCCGATCCTCACCAGGACAGTGATGGATTGAAACAGAGACAGACTGATGATTGCAGTATAGAACTGGATCAGCAGGTCCTTAAGGCACGTTTGAGCTTACTGAGCTGGTGCAGGAAGTACAATCTGCTGAAGCCCCTCTTTGATGATGGTGCAGGTTTGTTGGACTCCCACTTAAGGCCAGGGAGACATTGTGTATCCAAAAAACCTGAAAGTTTCACAGCAGACACAGGGCTGTTGAGTATGGTGATGGGGGCATCCACTTGTCGATCTCCACAAGTTTTGAAAGTTTGTTAGCTCGCAGGTTTGTGCTGACTACACCAGAAGGCCAGCCTGTTTAACCTCCCCTTTCTGTATGCAGACTTATCACAGTCCTGGATGAGGCCGATGACTGGTTGTGTCGTCTGCAAACTTCAGGAATTTGACCCAGACTGGTCTCTTCGAGGTGCAGTCATTTGTTGTAGAGGGAGAAGAAGCAGTGGGGAGAACACGAGCACCCCCTGGGGGGGCCATGGCTATTGACCGTTTAACGCATGGTCCATGGCTTGCATTTTTCCAAGTTTTAGTGTATTGGTGTGCAGCGTCCCCACAGCGCCACATACAGGCCTGCCTTGTACATACAAGGGCGCTTCTTTTTGGGTCGCTTCCCAGTGAAATCCGTGTGGACGCAGATATTTCTGCGAAACGACGCCGTGTTTAACGGAGATTTTTCTTTCGAAACGAGCATTGTATTGGGTGAGGCCACGTACTCCCGTGTGGACAGGGCCTTTAGTCCCGTGATGGAGGGTTTTTTGGGAAGCTGGATGATTGTGGAGTGTTTTGAAAGCAGGAAGGAACTTCCTGACAACTCTGCATGGATGGTGGTCTGCTCCTGATGGCCTCCCTGAGGCTTCCTGATACACACACGTATAGCTGTAAATCGTTATGTATGTATGTATTGTATTAGTGGTGCAGGCGATATATCGGCCGCCGATAAATAATATCGGCCTGATATGGTCATTTTTTACACATCTGTATCGTTCGCGATGTCAAAATAGGGCGCGATGTGAACAGGCCGATAATCATTCCTGTGTATTTGACGTGTGTGTAGGCTTAGATGTGAGTGTGGGGGCGTGTTTGTTTTTTGCGAAAAAAAAAAAAAAAAAAAAAAAAAAAAAAAAAAAAAAAAAAAAAAAAAAAACAAAAAAAAAAAAAAAAAAAAACAACGAACAAAAAAAAAAAAAAAAAAAAAGCGGATAAATTTAGCACGGAGCGCGGCAAAAAAGTCAAAAAGTCAGTTTTGCTTTGCCCTTTGGTGACGTGGGAGGGTGTACTGTATGTATGTATTATAATGTGTATTATGTATATAAGGTGTTGTATCGTA